AAACCCGATAAAATCAACTTATTACTAAGCTAATTTTTTTAAACGGATGAGAATTAGATCTTATTTTTGACTATGGAATCCTACAGCTCTAATGAAACCTTCTATATGTTTTTTTTTTACTTTATTATGGTTGGTTTTCGTTTTTTTAAAAAAAGTACTCTAAACTGTATAAATAATGTAAAATTAAATTGAATTTACTGTATTAGCCAAATAGACGAACTTCTGCCTATAAGATTTTATTAGTAAAATTTTGAGTAATTCCGACCGAAATTTTTGTTCTCTTAGCCAATCAAAACCGAGAATCTACCAGGACAATTTTGTTGCGGCAGCTGAGGTTAAATACAGTAATAGTGCATAATCATATATTTACACATATTGACCAGTAATGAACAAGATTTTGTGATCAGAAATTACTTAACTGAAACATATAGTTAATCAACTTAAAAGTATTAGGGATAGATCGGTATTAAACCTTTTTAATAATTCTAGTTCTATGAGTTGTTATCGAGACAACCTTTATTTTTAAAAAATGATATATATTTTATTTCCGAGATTTGCCATGAATATACATCAACTTAACCCTTTTTGGTTCTACATTTGTCATTGTGCTTGTGATTTGCTCAGTTACCTTTATGGGTAAATATATAAGCGAAGCACACTTTCGCAATATGTTAACCATTTTTTTGAGATCTTTTACTTAAATAATTAATAGAGCGAGCAAGATTTTCGTAAGTGAATATAAAAATTTACGAAAACAGATTTTCATAAAAAGTGCAATTGGATCAATTGAATTATAATTAATGAAATATTTGAATACTTCGCTTTAAATTTTTATATTACATACAATGTACGGCTTAGAAAGAATGACGTTGAATTAAATATAGTAAACATGGATTTGTTTTTTTTTTACCATTCCTTAATTGTCAAGCTTATACGCAATATAAAGAAACACCAAATTTACTAAAAACAGATCCATTGTAGAATGATTAATAATCTTTCAGAGGCTACGGATAAAATGTTTCCGACATCACAGTCGTAAATCCATATACGTATGTAGGGGATTTGCATTAATGCATTATAGGTTTATGGACAAATTAAAAATCATGTGATAAATGTATAAGTTTAATTATTTAGTTAAAACATGTGTTAAAAACCTTGATTAACCTAGATAATATGACATATTTAATATCCAACTTATAAAGTTATGCTGAAGTCCATTTTCTGAATTAGGGATTGGATCTGGGTAGAAATTATTGCTATATGATTCCCCGAAATACATAATAAAAATTATCAGGATGACCCAAGTAATTTAATAATGCTCGGGTAGAGATTTTCTAAGCGGGTCCAATCTTTATCTGAAATACCAAAAAGTCGTAATACCGACAATCCATTTTGCTAACAAGACAGAATTAACCTGCGTCATTTCATTGACAATTATTTCATTTCATGGACAATTATTTCATTTCACCGACAAGTTTTTAAAAATTGCACTAATCTTAACTAGCGTTGCCAACAAAATTACGTGATATTAATCATTACATGGAAATAACACTGCAGTACGCAATAAATATAGTATGTGCTGATTAACCATACATAATTTTGTTGGCAACGCTAACCTCAACTCTAACCTCAACTCTAACCTCAACTCTAATTCTAAACATGACTCCAATGACAATGACTAGAATTATTTTATTGGTGAAATGACTGTCAATTAAATTAACTATTAATGAGATAAAGTGTTTGAAAAAGTAAAGGTAATTACTTATTACGTAAAATGTTAAATCACACTATGCGACAATTTACTATGTTATTAGTTGTAAGTTGTATATATTATTAGCAAATTGTCACATAATGTGATTTAAATTTTTACGTAATATGGTCTCGAAGAAATTGCATTTAGTGAAGATGACGACTTATCGTATCGTTATAGTTAAAAAGATAATTTTTATTATTGCGTTACACTTGATCTTGACATTTGATTGGTCAACAAATTTCTTGGTACTGTTTTTTTTTGAAATCAATTAATTAATAAAATATTGATTAGTCAAAATATTATTGTATAAACTTTTTACCAAGTTTGATAAAGCTTCGTACGCAAAATTTTCATATGAAACATTTTATCAAACGTTAAATTATGATATTTTTAATGGATCATCTTGAATCATTCTTGTTTTACATTAGCGTTATATTATTAATTTCAGCATGTTCTGCGGCTATGCTGAAATTTGGTGTATTTAACTCCGCCATATCCGATTCACATCAATGAATTAACATTAATAGTGAAATATGCATGATTAAGCCAAGTACGTACGTACATACGTACGTGTGCATGCATTCTGTCAATGGATACGTATTCATTATTTCAAGTAAATATAAAGTTAATTACTGATCCCAATCGGGCAGATTTTATATATTCATATAAATACTACATAAATTGTATTCTTGATATTTAAATAACCCAATAACCATAATTGTATCAAAAAGGTAACTCTAAATACATTTATAACGTAACCTTTTTCAATCCGGCTTTAATCCAGTAAAGATCGGAAATACCATCGGTATTCATGCGTAATCAATACGTAACCGTATAAAATAACCTCATTTCCTCCAAAAAAATCAAAATTTAACTCGAATTCGTTAAAAAATTAAAAATTTAAAAAAAATGATTTTGAAAAATCGATTTTTGTTACTTACTTTTTGTCAATTTATCTTATTTATAACCTTTTTGATAAATCTATCTCATGGATCTGACAACTTGATCAAACGTGACTTAACGTTAAACAGAAATAATATACCAAAAAATATACTCGTCACTTCCATGGTCGGAAGTATGATAAATTCTATTATTTTATTATTATTATTCATATTCATAATACTTATAGCTCATTTTAATAATTACAGAAACTCATCTTCGTCATATGTTGGACATTTGCTTGATTTTAATGGATCGGGGATATAATGTATTTTTTGTTATTTATTTATAATTTATTTATAATTTATTTATGATTTATTGATTTTATAATTTCTCGTTCATTTGTTCATTCTTATTATCTAGGTAACATTGATATCTCCAGGAAACTATACTGCGAAATCGATTTCTTACCGTTCAATTCCACAAATTATTGTTGAAGATCCCCTTGGCCTAGACGGTAAAACTTCTGAAATGAATATGGCTTTCCTTGAAGAAGATACTTCCAAGGTTTATTCTATTGTAAAAAAAGTTTCCGTTCAACACTACGTATCTACTTATAATATCTATAAAAAAATCGCCGAAGAGATCAACGTTGATCTGTTTTTTTGTGATTACTTAATGAATTATCCGTGCTTTGATCTTGCTTGGAAATTGGGAAAGCCTGCTGTTGGAAGTTCCACTGATCATTCTTATTGTATGTACTTGTTAATACCATTTACCTTGAAATTTTTTATCTTATAAAAATCTATGTTCAACCGTTAATTTCCCTTTTTTTAGTACCTAATCCGCCATATATAGCTGATCCTATATATGGTTGTCATGTAAATATGGAAAATGAATCTTTCTATAACAGATTTAAATGTGCAATAATTGTACCTTTAAAAAAGGCCTGGAGCGCAAGAGATACTACAAAGGGCATTAATACTCAAAGAGCTCTTGTAGGCGTAGATCCGCATTGGGACTTCTTTGGACGTATATCAAGTACTTTAATGTTGTCTAATAATTTCTTTGGATTTGATGTAATTATATAATTAATTTGTTTATTTATTCATTCAGAAATTATTTTATTGTATACCTATTTTATATCTAATAATATATTTCATTTTAATCTTGATTACTATCATTAATAATAATAATACTATTATTATTATAATTATTATTATTATTATTTTTGTTGTTATTGTTATTATTATTTTTATTATTCAGATACCAAGAGCTGACACACCTCTTCATCAAGAAATTGGTCCTGTTCTTCCCGACGTCTTTCCGGGTCTAACACCAGATCTAGATTCATTTCTTTCTGCTCATCCTCGAACTCTGTACTTTGCACTTGGAACCAATGTTTTCATACCACCTCAAAGTGTTGTCACTTTTTTAAAATCTTTTCTTGAATTAATCAATCAAGACGTTATTGATGGTGTTATATGGTCTACTGTAAAAACTGATGTCGAGGATTCTTTTCAATTAGCTAATTATAGCTCCCATGATTATCCTCATATTTTTATTAGTAATTTCTCTCCTCAATTTGCCATACTATCTCATGAAAATACCAAAATATTTTTAAGTCATGGTGGTGCCGCTAGTGCTCATGAATCCATGTATACTGCTACTCCAATGCTCATAATTCCTATAATGGGTGATCAACCTAGAAATGCTGAAAAATTAGAATTGGCTGGTATAGCTTTGAGAATTTCAAAAACAAATTTATTAGTTGATGATATAGTTGAAAAAGTTAAAAGATTATTAAATGATGAATCTTTTAAAAAGAATTCTGAAAGATTACAATTTTTATCTAGAATTAATAGTAAAAGAAAATTTAGAGCTGCTGATTTAATTGAAATAACTATGAATACCGTAAAATATGTTGGTGTTGAAGATGATCATGGTAGATTAAGAATTAATAATGATAATTTGTTAAGAGATTGGATTACTCCTGATTCAAGAATGGGTTTTATTAGAGGAAATTATTTGGATGTTTATGCTTTTGCTATTTTTTTGGTTTTCTTGTTGTTTGGTGGTTTTGTTTATACTTTGTGGAAGTTTGTTAACTACTCTTATACCAAATATAAATTTCGATTTACTAATAACAGTAATTATAGAAAAAATTTAAAGCATAAAAAAAATAGGTAATTACAAATTAAACTTAAGGACTTTTAAATAAAATTTTACATAAATTCGATTTTAGATTTGTATATTTATTTTAAAATGTAATACATTTATACATGACATATTATTAGTAATTTACAGTATACTGCAATACTGTATTTATTTAATCATACAATATAAATGCAGAACTACTATTCGCATCGTGGATATTATCTATTCGCACCATGGTGACTAATTCAGGTCATGATCTATATACCATGGTGTGAATAGCAATATGCTATGGAGCAAATAGCATTTCCTTTAAATATGCAGCGTACAGTATCCCTTAAACTTTCAATTTAATTTTGATTTAGGTGAATTTTGAACCTATAGTTTTTCAGATATCATTGGACAAAAATTTGCAAATGACAGCAATTTGGCAAATGAACATATATTGCAAAGCAGCATATATTAATCATTTGTCAAATTACTGATTAGTAAGAAATTGTCAACTGAGTTTTAATTTGAATAAACATAATTACATTGAATCACATTTTAATTTTGTTAAAAATTGTTCATTTTTCAAAAACTTATACAAAAACTACCGTTTATACACTAATAAAAAATTTCTTAAAATTTATATTTTTTTTACTATTCAATATTAGTATTAATGCTAACTCTAACATAAATGAATTGGAATTTTTTTTAATTATTATGTAATGATAATATTTTTGATAACAATATTGAAAAAGATTATGTTTGTAGATAGTTTGCTAAGACTATTTTTATTTTTAGTAATATGCCTAAATGCATATAATAATACTTTACAGAATAATATAAAACTAATATGTATATACATATATATATATTTAAATAAATAATTTTTATATTTTTATATATTGTTTTGTTTTTAAAACAAAAATTTTAATGTTAAAAATAATGGTTCAATAATGAAAAATCAAAGATGCTAATTTATTAATAAAAATATATAAAATAATAAATTTATTAATAAAGATTCTAATAATAAAAATAATACTAATAATAAAAAAAGCTATTTTTAAAAAAATAAATTAAAAAACATATAAGAAATAAAAAATATATACAAAAAAAATAAACAAAAAAAAAGAATAAAAAATATTAATAAAAAAGCAAATAAAAATATATAAAAGTAAAAAAATAAATAAAATATAAAAATAAAAAAATAATATAAAATTAATATAATATAAAAAATAAAATAAAAATAAAATTATATATGTTAGCTTGCAATTATCAAGATATTATTTGATTCTAATTTGATTATAAATATAATGCACAAAAATTAAATACTAATTATATTACATTAGTTATGATCTATTGTTACAGCCTATATTACTACTTTATTCTGCTTTGAAACTTTAAATATTTTAGAAGATAATTATAAAAAATATTTATTAGCATTAGCAATAATAATTACTATTTAATTTTATTAATAGTTATTACTTTTTTTTATTAGTTCTTTAACTTTTTAAGAACTGTTAATAACCAAACTAACTTCTAATAAACTTATCAGATTTACTAATATGTTTTAACTATAATTCTTTCAAATTAAACAATATTAAGAAATCTGATTTTAAAGAAGATACTATAACCCAAATTTAATAAATAATACTTTATAAGACCTAATAATCTTTCAAGGGTGGGATGTGGCAATCTAGTAAAGTGTATAGGTTATCAACCCCCAAGTGGCAGGTCTAGAGTTCAAATTCCAATAACAGCAAAAATTGCAATTCTTTCTGTATTATAACCTATAACCTGTATCATACTAGCATAACTGAAAGTTAGGCATTTGTGCAATGTTATACAAAAAAACTTAAACTGGTACCAGGCAGTGTAAATTCTAGATAAGTCCTTAGATTATATAAATTATAGAAATCAGGTAGGAAGATAGAAGCCTACTTGAAAAATCTAAATAGAAAGATAACCCAAACCTTCAATAATATTACTATAAAGACTAGATCTATGAAACAAAACTAAAACTTGTGAAAGTAGACAAAGAGTCAACCTTTGAGAAGGGACTGAATGAAACCAACCAGACTGTCAGGATTCATTCTGAAGAAAAAGGTTACATGTTAGCAAATATGTAAATCAAAGATGTATAGTTACAATTTGTCTTTCTGAGCTATCTGGTTTGAGAACTTGGTAGAACTTGAATTGAATATTAAAATAGTATGGATATGTTGTAAAGTTAGTACTGAGATTGAAATGAATTCTATAAGGGCATAATGATTTAATAATATGTTCTGATTACTAATGTTGGTCTCGACTATAACAATACCAAGTCAACTGTAAGAATGGAATACAGAAGATTCTGGAAGGTTTAGTACAGAGTCAAAGATTCCTTAAATGAATGAACTGCTTTAAAGACTTAGTAACCATGACATATTTTCACTAGCATTAGCCAGAGTCATTGGTAGGCAAAGGTAGATGGGTGGATACAGAAACTAGAATAGTTAAATAGAAAACCTATAGGCATGTTCCAGGTATGGCAACTAGTGTAGAACCTTCAGACAGACTACTTAAATTAAATAATAACTAAAGTTGTATAAGTGACTAGTTGTACACTCTTTCTATGATTGCCTCATGTGGTTGTAATGCAACCATTAGCCAAATATACTATTAATAAAATCCTGGGTTGCAAGTACTCACCTTAATATTTTTTTAAAAAAAAAATCTTTCAAGGTTCACAATTTAACTTGAATCAACTTCTAGATCAAATTAAATTTAGGTTCAAATAAATTCAAAGAGGTTTATTAAACAATTAATTTCTGATTCATATGAATTTGCAATAATTTGTTAGAAACAATTCTGAGTTAAAAAATCTATAGTGGTTTTTATAAACAAATTTACTGCCAGAGGGGCCTTTAAATTAAGCAGTGTTTATTGATCTGTTAAGTTTGCGATGCAAATTACGGATCAATTTTCCAAGCTGAATCTTGAAAGTCACGTGACCAGACCCACGTCACGAGATCAGGTCGGTCGGGTTTAAAACAGGGTTGAAGTTCTTTTATGTTACGTATATAACTGTGTCAGGTTTAATTTTAGGTTTTATTATGCTTGTTCTATTAATAAAAATTATATTCTATTCTAATTTCTATTGCTCTATTCTATTGTTCTATTTATTTATTGCAATATTAAGATTCAATTATAATCTTGTTGCCAATCTTTTGTTTTATTGACAAAAATTTTATTCTATTCTACAAACTAATAAATTTAACGTTAACAAGAGGCTTCCTTATTGCGTTAGTTTGATTAATGAGGCTAGCTATTTATAGTTGGCATTGGGCTGATACTAACAGGTACGTACGTATGTACAATTTAGGATATATTATTTAAAGTTTTTTGTTTGTATAACAATTGTAAGTACAGTATAAATAAACATACAGCATCGGTAAATTAACATTTACATTTTTTTTAAAGCCAGAAATGTACAATAAAGAATTGACGGAAGAACGATTAGTAAAAGATATTACACAGGTCGCCAATGCTTTTAATCAACTGGATATCAATAATTGTCAAAAATTAGCTGATAAGAATGATTCTGATGGTATATTCTTACTTGGTTATTGTTACGAACATGGAATTGGAGTGGGAAAGGATGAAAAAAAGGCTTTCATTAATTATCTAAAATCATCAGAGATGAATAATCCTAACGGAATGTATCAAGTCGGTTATTGCTATTATTTAGGAATTGGAGTCGAAGCTGATAAGCATAAAGCATTTGAGCATTATCTGAAGTCAGCTGAGGCAGGTGATTCTATGGGAATTTGGAAAACTGCCGTTTGTTATGGGTACGGAATTGGAGTGGAAGAGAATGAGGATAAATTTGTTGAATGGTTTAAGAAGTATGCTAGTTATAATTTTTATTATTTTAAAAATTGAGGAAATTTTCGCACATTTTTAACAATTCAACTTAATTATTAGGGAGTAAGTATAAAAAAGACAACCAATTTATTACCATATAGCACTGCTTATAGTACCCGGGATTTATTCAAAACCATGAATCCAGTGATTTAATTGGTGGAGACGGGGTACTTTATGTGGTAGGATATCATTTTCGGGTGATACTATAAGCAGTGCTATAGTATTCGCTAATACGTTTACAATATTAATTATTTGTATTAATTTAGCCCGTGAGTATAAAGAATATTTATTAATCATTGGAATTAAAAACAAGCTCACAAATCAAGAACATAAATACTTATTTACCATTACCTAATACCCTTCAAATCATTTCATTCGCATTAATCATTCATTCAGTATGTGAGTATAAAGAAGATTTATTAATCATTGGAATAAAGACAAGTTAACAAATCAAGAACATAAATACTTATTTACCATCAATTCGAATCATTTAATTCGCATTAATTTAGTTTGTGAGTATGAAGAACATAATAAATCATTGAAATTAAAAACAAGTTCACAAATCAAGAACATAAATACTTATTTACCATTACATGAAAATCATATTCACATTAATCTTTCATTCAGTGAGTGAGTAAAAGAACATTTATTAATCATTGTAATTAAAAACAAGTTCACAAATCAAGAACATAAATACTTATTTGCCATTATTCTTCAAATCATTTCATCCGCATTAATTATTCATTCAGTGAGTGAGTATAAAGAACAATTATTAATCATTGGAATAAAAACAAGTTCACAAATCAAGAACATAAATACTTATTTACCATCCATTCGAATCATTTAATTCGCATTAATTTAGTTTGTGAGTATAAAGAACATAATAAATCACTGAAACTAAAAACAAGTTCACAAATCAAGAACATAAATACTTATTTGCCATTATTCTTCAAATCATTTCATTCGCATTAATTATTCATTCAGTGCGTGAGTATCAAGAGCATTTATTAATCATTGGAATTAAAACAAGTTCACAAGTCAAGAACATAAATACTTATTTACCATTACCTAATACCCTTCAAATCATTTCATTCGAATTAATCATTCATTCAGTATGCGAGTATCAAGAACATTTATTAATCATT